GTTACTTCAGTGCTAGTGTTGGTGATACTTTGCTACTCTTTTGACACCAGTTTGCTTTAAAGGGGGTTATGACCACCACTGCTCTCATTTTTCTTCTCAGTATCCATAAATCAGATCAATAAAAAATGAGGAAAAAAGTGCTGCTTCAGGTAGCTGAGTGGCCAGATGTTTTTGTCTTAATATTCCACAACTGGGAAATTACTTAAGGAATAAAGAGAGGGTTGGTTTCAGTTTGTTTTTTTTTCCCTCTAAAGTTACATGTTTTTTTCAGATACCAAAGGCCAGGTGAATGAAGTTCTGTCAGAAAAGAACTTTCAAAAATGCCCTATGAAGAAGGAAAGTTCCTTAGCTCACAAAGAGTTCTGGAGGTTGGCTTTTGTGGTTGCTTATTTCTGACACAGTTCCTATCTTAGTTGAAGTGTACATAGGTAGGCTCTGCTGGCCCAAAAAAGAACAGTATGGAGAGGTTATAGCTCCATCTACCCCAACTTGGTGAAGGAAATGAACAGTGCTTCGATATGTTCAGATCGTTACCTATGTTATCAGAAAGAACAGTCTTCTCTCAGGCGAGCCATGTCTTCCACTCACTTCCTCTCACACTGAGTCACAGCCAATCATCCTTTATATTAGTCCATATTCATACACACACACTGGAGTATTTTCCACCACTCTAGATTGATTAAGGAGATAACAGAGATGCAGAGTTTCTCTCCTACTCTCCGATGTCCCAGGAGGCACACAGAATCGAATGACATCCCTGGAGCAAAATAATTATCTAATTTCGTGCTACCTCATAATTATAAAGGAAAAATTCTATACATCTGTACTAAGGTCCAGAATCAAGCTAAGAAAAAATTCCTGAGAAGTGTTGAAGAAAAGCTGCTGAAAAATATGCAAAAACTTTTCTTAAGCTGCATCTTTGGCCTTGTTAGCGGGTGACCGCTGACTACAGTCTCAACGTATTCTAACCTGTCAATAGGCTTATTGCCAAGAAAACCTGAGCATTCAAAGAACTCCACCACGACGTCTTCAAAGACAGAAGACAGGATGTCTTGTCTGTCAATAGTGAGGCAGTCTCTCAGCATCAAAAACTGATTTCCTAGGCAATTATCACCTGAAGACAGCTAGGCTGCCTGTGGAGCAGGCAAGATCAAAGGGACATTAAGCATATACTAGGTTTCGAGAGACAAAACAGATGCATTCTTCCAGAACAAGAAGGCATAATAACTATTTTAAAGGATTGTAAAATAGGCATCCACAGCCACATCTGATCGAACATTATACTATTAACACTGAATGTCAACTAGACATATTTCTTTGATTTAATATTGGATTAAATCAACCAGTTTAATGAGGGGAAATTACTATAAAGATTAGAGACCAACAAGAAAAACTAGGGGTGACACAAGACTCTTGACATCAGGAGGGTAATTTATTCTATGTTAAGCATCTTCAAGGGATCAGGTGCACATTTTTCTCCATGGTTACCTTACTCCAAGGTAACCCACTCAGATACACCGGTCAACATTTGGCACGTCTAAAATAGGGTATCCCATCTCACATATTACAAAGCTCATCCTCTGTCTTCATGAGAGGGTTACAATGAGAGGAGGAGCTGACAATAGTATTCACTCTCTCAAGAAACAGTAGGAGGCTTATTTCCTATAACAGTACTTATTAGAGCTATCAGAATTACGTTTTGCTCAATTTAAGCTTGCAAAAGCTATACAGTTCCATTTGCCTTTTCTCATTTTTCTCAGTCTACCTTCAACACATCAATTTTACTACAATCCACATGGTTGCAATTTGTTTTGAAACTTGATAGTGAACATCCCCCCAAAATAAAATATCTCCAAGAGGAAGAAAAGAAAGTGTCTAGTTTCTATTCTTGCTCAAGACTTTGATCATTCTGTTCAACAAGCTATATTACTGCCAAGGCCATAGTTGCCTACAGTATCAGGACACATGCAAGTATTACAGCAGAGAAAAGAATTATACATAAAAATCTGAAAAACAAGCTTGTGAGAAGTCAAAGTGCGCAAGTAGTAGCTTTCTTTTACTTTTACTTCTCAGTTCAGCTCTGCTTGATTAATTTTATGGGACAAAAATACACCAAGAAGAAAGAGGAATATATCTATATATAAAGTGGACAAAATATTAGGAGATTAAAGAGCTTAAAATATTCCTTGCTGTTATCAATTCATTTACGTTGTTTATTTTTGAGAAATCATCATGCTGGATAGTAAAAGGATAAAACACTTTTTGGAGGAATGAAATACATACATTCCCCTTGTGCCATTTTTGAGTTCCCCTTGCCAGCACTCCAAAATAAATTACAGGAGTAATATCTGGCTTTCTCCAGATCTAAATGTTATTGCATTATACTAACAATAAGAACCATATTTGTTCCACAAATAAAATCAATTAGTGTTAATAACATAAAGAAATTTCATACTAGGACATTGGAGAAATTGAGTCAAATCTCTCTGCTGTGAAATACATCATCTGTATCAAGTTCAATACCACACTGGAGAGTACTTTAGAAGTTCTGAAGAACAATGGAATATTTTGAAGAAACATGGTCTCTTTAGTACAGTAAAAACGAACTGCTTATTTTGGAAATTCTTTTAGAAAGGATAACCATAAATTTAAGAAGTTATGTTTGCTTTTACATATTATTTTATTACTTTATACTTATATATTTATAATATATAAGAATTAAAAATAAAGCCATTTATTCCATTTTTCTGCTATATTTCAAATCATGTATGTGTATAGTTGCAGATGACAAGGTACATGGCTTCAGTGCATATAGGGACCACAACTGAGGACAGAATTACCCTTAGAAATAGCCAATCTTCTGAGAAGTCACCTATGCCTCGTCAACAAAGTTACGCATCGTTTTTCACTTCATAGAAACATCTCTGTGTGTTTAATCTTCATACCACATAGCATTATATGGCAAAGAGACACAGTCTGTATCAGGCAAAGATTAAATCACTACAGCATCCCCAAAGCAGGAAACATCCAAACTATGGTACTCCTCAAACAGAAAATGAAGCAACATGTTGTACTATGGTTCACAGTTAAGAGAGAAAAGCTAAGTCATTTTTAGGTTGATGGTGAACATCAACCTAACATTTCTGAACATTTGACTTCTTGAGGAAATCGAAAGGGTCTCTGTGATTTTAATAGCTGTCAGAGCTGGTTTTGGGAACACTGCTGTATCGTGTAGGAGCGCTCAACACAGCAGGTACAGCTGGGCTCTACAGCTGTCCCGGTGAACAGTTTGACATGCACCAGCTAATCACTCTATTCAGTTTTCTAGTAAAGCCTTTTACATGTGCTTTAATATTCCCAGAATTTCAGGTGCTCTGCTATCGAGGCCTGCCTGTAGAACACTCCTCTTCTAACATGACATCTAAAGAACTGTCTCAGAACTGACTCAGAAGAAACCTATAAGAATCAAATTGAAGAACACCATTTTCTATGCCTAGATTTTCACTGAAATCAAGGCTTATCTGATCGCTTTCAATTCATGGAAAGAAGAAAGAAAGCCACAGACTGATTTTGCATAAGTTCAAATTACTTTAGTTTTATTTAGTTTATTCAATAAAGAAACTTTGAGTTGTCACACACAACAAATAAAATGGAACCAGCTGTCATGTTACTGAACATTTATTAGTTCATCTGATAGTCTAGATATTTCAGAATGTTATGCAATATTTTGCGGGCCAGGGAGTGCACAACTCATGGTCCACTGAAGTCTGAAGCAATGAAACGATGACCTACATTCAGTCCTGTGCTGCTGTCAATGGGAAGAGGCCAAAGGCAAGAATGAAGGGCAGTGCAAAAAGCAAAAGCAGACTCCTCCTCCTCCTCTCCATATCATGCCTTCTCCCTGCCCTTCTCGACCATTAAGGGATAATCACTAGCTCATGTCATATATTCAGTCTGGTATTGGCAGCAGGAACAGAGTTGTAGGGCACATAACTGTGTTTTACTGCAATGGTGCTAGAACATCACTGAGCCATAATTTCTGTGTGACATTGTGCCTGAATCTCAAACATCTCTGGTGATCATTTCTGGTGAAATGTACCTCTGTACTGCCAAGTTGTACAAGCCACTGCTCAAATATGGCTATAAATATGCTAGCAAACAGAACAGCCAGTAATATCAGGAATTCTTTTCACACAGCCTTTGACATCACAATGTTTTACTGACACAATGATCTTGAGGACATAGGGAATCTGTAAGTTTGAAAAGTTCCACTGCTTTCTCCTTATTTTACACTTTGATTACTAAAGTATTAGATTACTTGATTCAAATCAGGAAAATTTCCACTGCCTCAGTTCATAAAGGTATTACCTAAACAGCCCTATATGTATGTATATATATATATATGTATATACGTATATATATCAAGTATGATCATCATGAAAAATAAAATGCTACATAAATTCGAGAACTGCTAAGTAGAACTCTGATTTTCCATTTTACATAAAAATCACACAGAAAAGGGGTCTGCCTTAGCAGATTGCAAGAGAAAGAAGATACTAGAAAAATCAGATGACAATACAAGTTAAGGCAAAAAAAGTCCTGAATCGTGAAGGTGTCTCCCAAATACTACACAAGGGTCATGAAGGAGAGAGGAAAAAAACAAAGGCGTTAAGGAGAGAGAGAACAAAGCAAAAAAGCAAAACAAAAAAAAACTCCTTCATTAAAGAAGGAAAGAGATTATTTCCAAAGCATTAAATTGAACTTGCCGTAAAATTGATCAGACCTCTCCACAGTCAGAAATACCCTAAAGCAATTATCGATCAAGAGCAGTGAATGTGCTACAGACCATACGTATGCACCATATCAAAAAGAAAAAAGAAAAGAACTAAACTGTTTTTAAAACATATTTAACTTCAAAACACACTCAACCACTGGTTTAATGACTGCATGAACTGTTGGAGGAAAGTATATGAAGATAAATTATCTCCAGGAAAACATACCTGGCTAGATTGAATGCATCATCGATCAAGCCTGCTCGATTACTGACAGAGATAACCTGTGAGGGGCAACCAGAAAAAATGGAACCATTTAGGTTGATAAAACAATGAAGCTCTACTTATCAAAGAAGATTTTAGGGATGAGAAGAGAAGCTTACCTCGTGGTTCCTTGTTAGCTGATTAATTAAGAGCCTCCAATTTCTAATATCATAATTAACTCTAAAGTAGCCAGTCTGGTTGATGTTTCCCAGCAACCAACTTGCTTCTTCCAAAGCAGGAATTCTGTGGTGTTCTGGAAAGAAAGAACAAAATGGGAAGGGGACTTCGTTTTAAGCTTAAAAAGTCTTAAAAAGAAAAAAAAAAGTTACTTTTTTCCTTCTGAAAAATACTCAGGAAGATCATAAAATTAATTCAGAGACTAACAAAAATATCATTAATAATGTGGTTGATTTAGAGTTTTCTTTTTCCGCTCTACTAAGCACTGAGACGCTCTCCTTCAGAACTAGCTATATCAGTTAACATGTTCTTCCTCTTTCCCCTAAATAATCACTTAGAGGCTGAAATTATAAGATTATTTTGATATTTGTACAAGCTAGAATTAAGACAGTGCATAAGCATATGCAGGACTAAGGATTTCAACAACAAAATACCCTGAACTAAACATCACGTGCTTCTTTCACTACAGAATGAATTATCAGGCTTAAATATCTCTTGAAGAATCCTTCAATTTGCTATATTATTCTGACATAATCAATTGTGAACTAAAATGCTCTAGTTTCTACTTTTTCACTTTTCCTACTATAACAGAATTAGTCTGTATACTCTCAAAAAAGGGAACAGCCTTCTCATATATTTTAAAAATAAAAAGCAATATGCAAAATTTGTTTTAAACATAATTCCCACAGGAAATTGATTGGTGTGCTTGAGTTGCCTGAAGGTAATAATGGAAAAAAATATATATATCAATATGGTCTTCACAATTCATATATACCATCTAGTATCTAAAAATATGAGAGAAATAGATTTATTTACAGCCTTTCTTTTAAAAAAGTAATGTCTGAGGAAATAATAGATGACTAGATCTACAGACAAACATTATCTATTCCGTTGACTAAATAACACTTTCAAACACACGAATAAGCATAAATTTAGGTGCATACATAAGAAGAGACCAATCCTAAAAATACATAATTATGCATTTAAATTCATGGAGTTCTGTGAATTCAGATAAAGTTTCAGGATTAAAAGAAAGAAAAAGAACTCTTCTCACCTAGGTAGTTCAGAGATCATTAAAATCTTAGAAATATTAGTCTGGAAAAAATCAGTTGTTGCCTATAGAATTTCATTCTGTTATTACTCTTTGAAGATTTGTCTAACTTCCACCAGCTCAGTTTAATTATTTTATATAAACTGTTGAGAAAAAAAAAAAAGACTGACCTCTGTATTTAGTTAAAATATTAGTTTGTTTTGATAAACTGCCAATTAGACACATCCTTTTTGTGCTAACATATCCTGCAGAAATAGTACTAGAGTGAAAAAAAAGAAAAAAAAAAAAGAGAGAGAGAATGAAGTCCTACACCTCCACGGGATTCCTGGCCTTGGGAAAGGCATGTCAGCTACTAGGTTGAGAGAAATAAGTAATTAAGACTGGAATACACAAAGGCTAATGAACTGCAAGAAGACCTGCACCAGCTCATTAGCAGGAAAACGCACAATCTATGAGTCATGGCTAACCTAATCTTTCAAAAGTAACAAGGTAGCCAAATCCAATGTGGACAAAGAGGGCTTTCCAAATCAGTATTTTTTACCTGTGAACCACCTGGGTGGCCTTTCCCGCAGACTCCTGTTAGCCAGTTTTCCAACTGCCCAAGCACCTGAGTTGCTTTTGATGCAGTATTATTGGGAAGGTTTCAAGACCTCGTGTCCTGACTGCCACAACGGTTTGTTAAACACTGTGCTATAGCCATAGCTTAGCCCTAAACAAGCTCCGTGACTGTTCTGCTGAACTTGCTACTCTGTCTAAATACTTTATTCACCAGACCTTAAGTCAGAATTACCCTGTCGCTCATGCCCAGAATCTTATGGAAGACCTGAATTCTGATTCCTGGGAATACTCAATTACTTTATACAAAGCAAAGTATTACCTAGAGAAGCTGTAAAAGATGACCAAGAGAACTTATAGCATAATTACAAAGGCATTTTCTTAGAAGAGCTTTGTTTCAAACGCCTGCTATTACTCAGGTGAGGAGAAGGAACTTGAATCTGGGTCGATCACTTCCTATTTAATTTTCCCAGCCTGGTGCTGTGACCAACCTGACACCACTAAATCTCAGCAATGTTCTATATCAGCCTAGTGGATTTGTTAACAGCAGCTACAAAAATATTGCAACTGCAAATATACTCTATATCTAGGAGAAACTGTTGGGGGAAAACAAAATTTAGAATTTCTCTGGGTCTTCAGTGCTGTATTGCCTTGTGGGGTCAGGTACAGAGCACCCATGTGCCAGAAATTCCTACTGTGTTAATGCAGAACTGTGTTCTCCTTATGTTTTTCTATTAGGAACTAACTCTCAATGCCACCATAGTTGAAAATAGCTTCTTGAAACTGGTTAATCCATGACACCTCTATCATACCTGAAAACCTATCAAATATAAGCACACATTAATCAACAGCTAGGTAAAGAAATACATAAAATAGAAACTTTCAATATCAGATGTTATAAAAGAAAGAAATGCACACACTTTTCCTCTGTTGGAGTATTTTCATTTAATTCTGATCTCTGAAGTGAGGAAATTACTTGCAATCTGCAATACAATACTGAATAATACTTGCCAATCAAATATGACAACTTTAAAATAACCTATTCCATAAATGGCAGCTGTGGAACACTACAAACACATATTGCTTTAATGGAGAACAGTATCTTTTCAAAGCCTGATGGCATTATTGCTGTTTTGGTCAGTTTTAAACGCAATCATAACCCTTTGCTATTATTTTTTGATAAAGACACTCATGGGTTGGTCTTTTTCTCAAATACAGGACAGGAATCTTTCAAGCTTTTCTAGCTCATATAAGCAGGTGGTTATTTTGAGGGACTGTCTGATGCATGTGTTTCACACAGTTCTATATAATTTACTGGAATTCAGCATTTGAGTCTGTCAATTCTAATGCCTTCCTATGAAAGAAATTCTTTTTTTTTCTGGCAAAGACAGCACTGCAAATTTCTATACACATGGGCAATCTCTCCACTTATCACAAATACATTTATTAGTTTCCTGTTAAAAGTACTATTGTTAGGAAAAAAGGCAGTCATTCCATGTTAAACCCTATATTAAACCATTCATGACTTTCAAAAACAAAAAGAAAAAAAAACATTTGGGGAAAAATCTGTCTTTGATGGGTTTAGTTCACCTTTTAAAATCTAAACTATACATACAGATGTACTTGAGACTAAAGAGAATTTCTTTAGTCTCATTCAATCAGAAAGTATTTTTCAGTGGCTATGTTTTGCTGAATGCCTCAGAAAATATCACTCCTCTGAAAGTTCCAGTTTCACTACAAACACTTAGGAGACCTTCAGGAAGGAATGTTATGTTTTGCTGAATGCCTCGGAAAATACTGCTCTGAAAGTTCCAGTTTCACTACATACACTTAGGAGACCTTCAGGAAGGAATGGTTAATTTTTACAACATTTGTTCTAAAAGTTAAAAAAAGAAAAATTAGGGTTTCATTCCCATTTTCCCTTCTCTGGAAGTGAGAGGCCTCCAAGCTGGTGCTAACAGCACATAGCTTGAATGTGAGAGCTATCACCTAGAGCTCTGAGCAGCTTCGACTCTCATCAAAGCCAGCAAGAGTGGTGGAAGACTGGTCATATGCTCAGCAACATGAGCACCACGCAAGTTAGGTCGGGGTAAATGACACTTCTCTGGAAGAAACTACTCCAATGATGAGAGTCTGGGCTACACACAGTTCTTCTACCAGTTCAAATATTGGAACTCAGAGATATTACTCTTTTTTTTTTTTTTCATTTTACAAAACCCATAGCATACTAGGAATTTGATTCATAATGGAAAAAATCTTACTAGTAAACCATACTTTCTTCTCTTATAAAAATTACTGCACAAATATAAGACAATTTCATACCATCAAGAGCAAATAAAATTTTTCTGATGAAGAAAATGTTTATAGAGGAATTTCATAGTAATCACAATATTTTGCGGAAACATAGCTTTAGTCAGCTTTAACTAAATGCTCCAAAACACTTTGAAAGAACTTTTCATACAGGGAGAAAAAAAATGAGAAGTTCTTTCTATCATCTCACTTGCCACATTGCTTTAATTCCATGTTGAAAAAACATTTTGCTACAGGGAACACTATAGTAAACAGAACACACCAGTAAACACGTTTGTGGTCTGTGTCACATGATTTTCCCTTGGATTATTCTGCCATTAGTTACCACTCCTAGGCTGTAAAATTGTTAGTATCTAAGGTGATGTTTTATGGTGCAAGAAGCATTTTTGTTTTAGGATCTCGGCTCAGCTTTTGGGATACAGAGGCTCCGGTTCTGCTTTGCTCTGTTAAAATGGTGCCAGGATTGTAGGTGCTTTATCCTCAGTCCTCCCTATGGCTGGCTAAAGCTGTAAAGCAGGACCTGTTAATTTAGTTTGCTTCACAGTATTTTCTTTTCTCCCTTTTGAAAAATGTAAGAGGGGAGTGTGAAAGCAATTCAAAACAGGCTCAGCAGTCATCTGATTCTCAGAGTGGGGGAGAAAAAAAAGGTATTTTTCTAATACTGCACTAACACCACTCTCAGTGGAGAGCAAGCAAACTCCAGCTTGAAAGCAGTTGTCTTCTACAAAACACATCAGGGAGGAGAATGAGACAGTCAAGGGAGTCGCAGCTAAAACGGATCAGTCATCTATCAGGAGGTGCTGTAATACAGTAAATTGGAATTCTTATCACCGAGCCAGTTGCCCTGCTAAACTTTCTTTCCCACATCTCATGGAAATCCTGGATATATTAAGAAGAAAAGTCCAAATGATCCACTTCACTAGAGGCAGACATGTCCATCAGATGAACACTTGCCTAGCACACAACAAATCAAAGTACAGGAGGTGGTGGTGGGAACGACAGTGAAGCAGACTGTAAAGGTAATTCAGTCAGTTTCTGAACCACCTGAAGATGTCTCCTACCCAGGGAGGTGTCTGCACCGCACAACAGTCAGGGACAGTATGCCTTTGACCAAAGCATTGGTATTTGAAATGGGTGCCAGCTAAAACTCCTGATTTAAGGTTAAGGTCACTGACTCTGACAGATTTGCAGGAACATAACAAGTAGGACTGTCCTTCCACACTTACTACTCTCTAGCAGCAATCAGCTGGGACCTTCCTGTAAGACCTGCTGAGACAGCTGTCTTGGAGGAACTGGCTGAATTCACAGTCGATCCCAAGAACAATACCTGTACTTGTTATGTGCTACACATTTTGGGCTGATTCCAAAGCACAGAGGACATTATCTACATACACCATTCCTTTGAGACCTCAAAGGAAGCAAATTAATCTAGGAGAACCAGAAACAAGCCCTGGATCTGTGACAGAGCAGCGTGTACTAATGATTTCCACCATCTCAATGAAAAGCTTCATTCAGCAGACCTGCAAGTCTGTAGCACAAACAGGATTGTAGCCACCTTGGTGTGATGTCTCTGACCTCATCATGCATAGGAGGGCTTATCATGAGATGATTTCTTTGCTCCTTGTAACTGGTTTAGCTTTCAGAGATTGTTCATTCCATCTCCAAGGCTACGCAGAAGCTGTCATTCCACTAAAACAGAATAGACCTTGTAGAGCATCCTGCACAGATATCAAGGAAGGAGACTATTCCCTTAGGATAGGCAACTTGAATGACAGTGACCTTTTCCGTATTTCCTTTTCCCTTTAAGATGAGTGTGTAGTTGCTGTCCAGAAGACAATCACGGGATATGCCAAGATCATAATGGAAGTCATCAGCTTGGAACATTTTTAATATTGGCAGCTAAAGAAAGATATGTGATCAGTATTACATAAAAAGAGAGCTGCCCATCATCTCCTATCTACCTTCCAGGTTACACTGAAAGCTTCTTTAACACAGTAGTTACGGCAGCCAACAAGGGAACATCCCACTTCTTCCTTAAGAGAACATGAAGAGCCATCCTCATGAATTACATTGTCTTTGCTACAAATGCAGATCAGTAAAGGATTCTGGGAACAATCCAATAACAGATCCTATGATCATAGCAGAGAAAGATGAAAATATGAGAGCATTTTCTCATTCCAGATCCCTGTAACACTTGTGAGCTCCTGACATGTTTCTTTTGAAATGCTGAAAGGGGCACCCCTTTGTGAGTGTGGGGACAAAAGAAAACCTACAGTCAAAGCCCAGTGCCTGCACTATTGTGTGGACTGAGAGCATCATTTATTTATGGCATAGAAAGACTGCAGAGAACAGGACAGACTGGCCTGTCTGCTTGCGCTTCTGGAAGCATAAAAAGGAACAACAAAATACCTTGGCATGCTGTGGTCATGCAAGATCCAGTGTCTTATTGTCACTCCCTGCTCAACATAACTGTCAGCACAGTGTTGATGTACAGCACTGACGGCTCTAGGATGTTCTCCCCAGGAAACTTCACTAACTCCATGAAAGGAAAACCCAAATTCTCCTCCAGGAAACCTTTTACTGTTTCTCCAGGAGACCTCTTGTCACCATGGTGGCAAGCAGCTATGGTCACCCCACCATGACTCAGACAGTGCAATGAACCTGATCACATAATCCTGATCACATTTTTCTTTCTTTCACTCTGTATGCCTCTTTGCTGCTGTCTCTTTGGCCTGACACTGCGATTACCCAGGTTATCTCAAAGAAAACTCAAATCCAGACAGCTCTGGACACATACAGTATCTTTTTCTAGGTCAATAAGTTGAATTCATTTATTCATTTAGAAAGTTGTATTTCAGTGTTCCCAAACAGAAGTGGTTTAGAGTATTTTAACTCCCAGATATTTTGACATGTTGGTATTTCTTCTTAATTGTAGAAGAAAAAAAAAAAACACCGCAATACTGGCTTTTCCTTTAGGACAGCAAATTAATTTCCCAAGCAGCAGCAACGTCAATTCTGTGATATCTATTTAGTTATAACTGTGCACTTTTATGAGCAGGCAAGATATAAAAGATTGCCTATGTTTTGCCTTAACTTAGATCCTCAGATTAATTCTTTTCCTTTTACCTCACTCCTCTGAAGAATGCTTCAGACAATATCATCAAAGATATGTCTCTTCTCTGAAGGATGCTTCAGATGACATTAAAAATGGTAAGGTTAGGAACCTTAACTTGACTTCTAGCTTTCTATCACGTTACTTTGTAGAGTGACACTTGTAGTGTAATTCTTTTGACCAAATTTAGACAACTTTGATCTGGATAGACTGTACGGAGGAGAGGAACATTCACTTTTTAAACTAAAACACCTGTTAAAAGTCAGATGTACTGATAGACTATGGAAAAATGGCCTATGCCAGGAAAGGAAGCACCTATTCCTGTCCATAGATATCTATCAAATATCCAAGTATAGCTTGTTATGCTATAGATGTCTAAGCTAAGTGAGTCAAACCTTCCGTTTTATCCCTGTTAAAATTCAGAATCATGAAAAGTCCAATAAATTTATGTGTCTGCATTCAAATACTTTCACTTGAAGAGCAGTGTGACTGACTCCAAGCTTCCAAACATCTTCTGAAATAATCCATTTCACCTCTAGCTTGCAGAATTGTTTTCAGATTACTCTCTGTTACAACGCCAAAATAAAGATGTGTCCTCTGCACAGTGGAAATGCTTTGGGACTCTTCCCTCCCACTAAAATTGATCTGGGAAACTGCCCCTTCCACTCTCAGAATACCTTCCAGATCCCCAGAAATCAGGCATATCAGCTTAAAAAAAAAAAAAAAAAACTTGAAGAATATCAAAGAATCATTCATAGCAGCCCTGATGCATAACAGCATATATAATGAATCATGCTGAGCACATCCAGGGATATTCTCAGCACACCCAGGAATGTTCTCATTGATTTTTTATGTTGAATCCTCCAAGTGAGCCAGACAACAATAAGCAAAGGCACAATGACATCCTCACTGTATTCGTAAGTTACAGTCTCTAAATTTTTAATGAGACGCAGTGAGTGACTGAATGAAAAAGAAATGAGAAAGGACAAGGACAACAACAACAGATGATACTGGCATTGATTAGCTACACAGGAAACTAATGACTCAGATCACCGTGAAAGGTTCATTTTTAACGTCTATATAATGAGCACCCCAAAATCATTGCTCAAACTGGCCATCCTTAATTTGTTAACTTCTTGTAGACATTGTGGTAGGAATAGTAGGGTAGACAGCATCTATCCTAGATGCGCCTTCATGGACTGGTTTCTCCACAGCAAGTAAAAGGCAAAAGGAAAGCAACCCTGCAGATAAGAGAAAGTTACATTCTGAACTTTCAAGGCAGGAATGAAGCAAAGGACACGTGCATGTACGATCTAATGAGATGAAATGAGATGACATTAAATGATCAAGTTTCCCTGAAGTCAGGAGGAATCTCACTATTAATTTCAGTGAGAGGTCAGTCAAGCCCTAAGCCACAAGAGCAGAACAGGTCATTAAGACAGATTGCAAAAGTGCAAAGAGATTTCGAAGTATTCTGCAAGCGTTAATATTAAAAACGTATGAAGAAAAGTTAGAACCTGATAGGTTGCAAACAATCAGGGTGAAAAAACACATACCTTAAACCATTAGAAAGATGAGATACTGAGATTTTCCCTGATTGTATTCACCATTCACTTCTTGTCCTGTTGGCTGCTTAACTCTATGTGAACACTATATTTAATGACTTAGGAAAAAAAAAAAAAAAAACAGGCACACACAGGTCTGATATTCCCTTTTCAGTTAGATTTCTCCTGGAAGGAAATCTCTGTATCTTTTTTACACTACAAGAAGGAGTCAGTTTTCCCTTTCATATGGATGTATGCATCAAAGGGATGATAGCTCTTTATTTTCTCTTTCTTAGAATTATTTTATTCAAGTCTCCACATTTCTTTCCTCGTTGACTTAAAACTTCAGTATAAAACTGTCAGCTGATGTAGGCAGGAAATAGAGAAAAAAAAATACAAAATTTTGTATGGGCTCCTTTTATTTTAGGGGATAGAAGAGCACTGGTATCCAGCCCTGGTAGTTTTCAGGGCAGTAGCACCATGACCATGTAGGAACTGAGGAGGGAGTGACAATTAGAATAATGCAGTTTAAAAGTCCAGTATCTGTTTATCTAGTAAGGATAACAAATACTTTGACAGATCATTAAGGAGACTTTTTAAAGACAATAAACATTTCTCAGACTATAGATCAGAATTACAAAATGTCAGAATTATAAATATTTTGCATTTACTAATTCAAACTCATTAGGTGTTTTGTTGTAAAAGTATTACATTTAACTCTCATCAATCAATAAAGAGAACTGCATTCATCAATAACTTGATACGTATTGCTAAATATAAAATATTTGGTACTTAGTTACACCTTTCTTTGTAAAAGCTTTCCATTACACTATCTAGCTTCTGTGAAAATTATTAATCATCCTGCTTGGTATTTATCCTTTCTTCCTCCTCCCTCCCTTCCCAACTCTCCTGTTTGCAATTCATTTCAAGACTGGGTGCAGAGCAACTAAACAATTATCTAGGATCAATTTCAAAGAAACATTTGAGGAAAACACAAGTATGCTTTATGAGATTCCACTGGGAGGAAAGTTTATTTTTACCTGATTTGTTAGACACCCATATAATTGCCTCTGATGAGATGTGGCTCGTGTTTCCTACTGCAATTGTTAATGGAATCTGCCACAAGTAGCTGCAAGAAAAAGGAGGGGGAATCTAAGAACAAAAATACTGAACTGATTCTTCTCACAGCAATCAGGGATCATGTCAAAAAAGTCAAAACACAATTTCAGTACCAGTGTAAAGATGTGGATCTAACATGTTACTTGGATTTTGAAATGCATTTGCTATTAGTAACAAAACAATGAAGAAACCATTCATCTTAAAAAAAAAACCCTAAATCTAAATTCTATTTTACAATTTTCAAACACTCTCATCACATGAGGCCTTTCCTCATTTAACAAAAGAGGAAATAGTAATTTCCCATAGAAAGAAGAACACTTTTTACATTCACTCAGGAAAAGAGAACCTCCAAGTAAAAACACACTTTGGTTTAGAAGGACTGCAAAGTTTGAAAAAAAACAACAATTAGCTCTTTAGTAACATCTTAAAAAGTTATGATGGCTTTTCATAATTGCTTCTGTAGAAAATAAAATGAATGTGAAGGATTACCTATTTCTTTGAACCATTTGTGATAACTTATATGTATACAAACTGTACATAACATCCTACACATGAATTTGGAGGTATTCTGGTGCTATCAGACTTCAGCTTTTTTAACAGAGTATCATATTTGAGATAAATGTTATAAATCATGTAAGATCTTTATAACATTTTAGCACAATAAATAAAAAATACTGCAAAGTCTCTCTTTGGGGGAAGAAGGAAAAGATGGATTCCCTTCATCACTGTCGCTATTCCTGAAATCCTCCACACCTCACCATCTCAGTATCTAATGAAAGAACAGACATTTCCCGCTCAGGCCTGCCATGTGATTTTGTATACTGGCCTGAAAGCACTGAATAATGGTACAAGAGGTCCCTTTATCTAGGGGCATCGCATGAGAATTCCCCCTAACCCACGTATCACTGTGCACTTAGGTCAGCTTAGCATGCAAAGCTACCAAGGAACTATACTCTTTCAGAATGACTCATTTAAAATGGTGAAAATATGGGGAGGTGCAAGTTTTGATGTCTACCTCAGCTCTTCTGCCAGCACACAGCGTTACAAAATCAGCCTGCAATACCAAAAAAGCAGCCCTTCCTGTAGGTCTGTTCATTTCTGCTTATTCAGAAACTTGCTCTATTGAACTTCAAACACTACCTACATGTGTCATAACAGACAGTGTCCTGTGACCTACTGGGTTCTGCCTGGGAACACATCTGTAGTAGCGCTCTGGCAATCACATGTATCATGCAACAGGCCACCACATTCCCTCTATGGGTATTCGGTGAGAAATGGCATGATATAGTAATTTCTGTCCCCTGCTACTCTCATTTCATCAATAAGATAAGGATTATTTGCTTTTCATTTCATGGACCAGATCCAGCAAATACTTCAACATAGGAGTAACTTTGCAGCTGCCAGGGCTGCAGCCAGGGCTGACCCCCCAGCCCAAGGGAGCTGCTTTCACCTGAGGATCTCAGGGTTAGTCCCCACCTGAGCTACAGCTCTAGTAGCATCGTAGCTGTGTCCCAGGCCAGCCACAGACCCACTGGCCCCAACCCTGACCCCAACCTGCAGGTGCATCAGCCCACCCCAGCAACTCTGCCTGACCACCATGAGACCACCTATGACCAATTACTCTCACCAAGTCTGATCTGGACCCCAGCTTGGTAACTCATGTTCCTGACTTCACCCTGGATTTGTCTGGGGTCCGTTTGACTCTAACTACCATCCCAGGGCTTACCCTGCTCACCTCACTCAAGGGCTGTGGGATTAGGCCTTCACTGGGAAGTCCATGCCCTTGCTATCACAGCCTTGCTCCTGACTGCACATCCTTTAGGGAGCAGCCAGCCCTTGCTGCACTCTGGCGCTTGATTTCTCACTTGCACATGAATTTGTAGCATTGAGAAGGGAACCATATGTGCTGGGAAAAAAATTTCCATAGAGCAGTGATTCAGTAGAATGGGGGAGATATTTGGAAAACTGTACAGCTGAAAGAGAAATGAGAGACACTGGAAGGAAAACATGGCATTTAGTGGGAGAAGACAAATGTCCCATGCGATTTCTATTTGACTGAATATTGGTCTCATGGCACACACTGGGAAAACTAATACATCCACTCGTGCACCAGAGACATGCGCTGTAGGAGTACATGCTCTGGCAGATACAATCTAGCAACCCAGCTGTGTCATCTGGGCATGCTACAGTCTTCATCAGTCTGCCCTTCCTTCTCCTGGAGATTACCACTCTCTAGAGCATAGTCAGCAGAAAGGGATGTCCACTGATGCTTTAACTTTACCCGTTCCCAATCTGGTGTTTTCACACGAAGTTATCTTCATTGTCGACTTTACTAATATTCTGAAATGTGGACTGGAGTAATGAGGTGAAAACTTGCCCTCTCTTCTGCTGATTCTGTTACAGTAGCAGTAACTTCCGGGTTTAATAGATAAGGATAGTCAGGAGTTGCTTAAGATTCACTGGAGAACACTCTCTAGAATAATTTACACCTTACAAAACATCTATCAGTGTGTAAGAATCTTCCAATTTCTGGGTAATATATAGCTTTAGGAATACACTGAGTTATAGATACTCAGCTCTCCTATATGGGAAAGACCGCATGGGAGAGACCTAATATGGGAAAGACCGACTGACCAAGAAAAATGAGGCAAAAGTAAGCACAAAGCTAGTACATTATTTGTAAGAAAGAACAGAGTCTTTGGTATATGAAAAGAAAATGAAAGAACTGCATTTGCATTTTAGTTTTATGATTCTTGACATCAACTCCTAGCAAAAAATATATACATACTGCAAAATAAAATGACTGACAGATGTGTAATTTTTTAATTTAAACATAGGCACACACACATGTGTATAAACATACGGATAGATACTTGTTATCCTGAGAAATAGCTTTGTAAAAAGACACTCTGTACATTATAACATCTGTACCGAGAAGTACTTTATACTATGTTTTTATTATATTAAATATTAAACTTTTACTTAGAAGTATAAGAAAACGTTACCATATACAAATATCAGGTAGGTTTTTCATTTTACAGATATATTGCAATTTTCACAACAGCTTTATGTTTTTGTTAACTATGAAAAGTGTTAAGGCTAGGAGTTCTCTGGAAGAAACATACTTTGAGCAGGAACTTTTTTTTTTTTTCCTTGTATGGCACCATTCCCTTGCCCTGCTTATCTCATTATCTCACAGGCTTTCTGCTTCAGGAGCAAGAACAGGCTGCACTCTCTGACTGTTCTCAATCCTAGAGACACCCAGCTTCATGTCTGCAGAGATGTCCCCCATTAAGGTAAAAGGGGTCACACAAACTACTCATCTTCACAAAACAACTGTGCATTTAGTTGGGAGGATCGGTAGATTCAACTTGATTATTTATCTCCCCAAGATCAGAGTTCTCCTAATATTCTCAGGACTCTCCAGAACCTCCAAATCTCACATCCTTGTTTCCCAGGCTAAACACAGATTTCCTTGTAATGGACCTCTCCAGAAGACATTTTTTTCTACTCATACTCCTGCTCTTTCCCATATGTTTACCTGCTTTCTCCTTCCAGTCCTCTTCATTTTGGTGAAATTCTAGCCTCTTTTGCAGCAGAAACGTTTAAATATTTTCTCTTTACTATTGTCCTTATGTGGCAGAGATTTATCTGCATCACTTCTCAAGAATATTATTTGTAACGACTACACACCATCTCTGAATGATCGATAGACTGTACTCTCTAGGTATGAATAGGAAGAGACAAACTTTTCTTTTTTCTTTTTTTTTTTTTGGTCTCCCCTTCTATTGCACTCTGCTGTTTTAAATAGAAAACAGAAAAAAGACTTGCTCTCCTGTTTTCCTCCTGCTTTGCCTGGAAGCTGTGCACACTAATTCATTCATTCTTTTATATGCTGGGAATACCACAAGCATACTCTCTGTACACTATCTGGCTGGGGATAAGAAGAACACTGTTACATCTGGCTATGTTCTACTTGCTCTTGACAAAACAATTCCAGCAAAAATATGAATTTGAAGACCCAGGGACTAGGACAGCAGGACTAAACCCTTTTGGTCCTCCTACCCCAATAATACGCCTGCAAAATAGGATGGCTGTTAACATAGCTCATGACCAGGATGAAATGGAGCAGAGCTATCAGACTATATGCCCTATTCACCTGTGATGCTGCAGAGCTTCAGAGGGATCTGTACATCATGTCCCTCTGGATTTGAAGCTCATTATAATCTGCGGAATCTGAGAGCTATTTGTGAAATTTAAAGAACCACTTCTGATGAGGAAGAGAGACATTTAAAATTGGACTGGACATGGTAAGTACGAACCACACTGTACATAGCACTGTTCAGTCATAAATATCTTGAAGAGATGTAGGTAAGAGAGATGTTATCAAAAGGTCTTAGAAAGAAGCCTTCAACTGTTGGTTTACTTGTGTGAAATTGTTAACTTAAAACAGTTAAATTTATGTTGCTGGGATAACATTAAAGGGAACACATTGGGGAGAAGAGCAGCATCACAACAATACATAACACATTAGTATCTCCACTAATACATTAGTGCGTTAGTATCTTCATTCAGCTTACAAAGTAATTCAGAGGGACGTTTGATATAGTAATACAATTTTTTCAGCTGCGGAGGTGTATGTAATACCAGAACCCAGCTAATTATGCCCTGCTTGGATTATATAGGCTTTTTTTTTGTCTGGAGTATTATATTATGACTACAGAGCCAGTATTAGTGTACTTCATCTCACTCAGAAAATGATCATATTTTTGATGAGTACTTGCTTATCCCTTGACTATAACAAATAAGAACTGAGATCCCTTGGTGGGCAAATTCATAGACCATAAACTATTAAGTAAACTTGATGCTTCACACTTTTCTGTGATGAATAACAGTGTCACAGTAACATTGGATTTTCAGTGGAACAATTAGTTGGCTTCTTTGTAAAGAGCTACATAAAGCCAAAAAAAGGGCAGTAGTTTATTTCCTCTGCTGACAAAACAAAGACCT